GGGGGGAACCAGGAGGTGGCAGCTCTTCTGTCTCTAAGGATTCTGATGCTCACTAAAGCTTAATGATCACTGCTTTAGGAAATGTCCCATTAACAGTAGGCTTCATTAACGTTTTCATTAAGTATCATCTTCTAAAATGTATCTTTGCAATTTTACACACCACCCTCTAAGTTCCTGTGCTCCAGTTATGGCTGTCACAATGGACTCAATTCCAAAAGAACAAAAGTACCTTTGTCCATCCTGTGATCTGCATCTCTGTGCCCTCAAGAGGTTTCCAATAAACATATTTTAAGTAACTACAACCATAACCAAATCTAAACCCTAATTCGCAACTCGTATTATACCTTTTTAATAACGTCCTTGAGATCCGCAGAGCTCAGCTTCCCGAGGGGCTTCCCATGCGGAGGCAGCGGCTGCCCTGGGCCTGGCCTTGCGCCTGCATGGTGGCGAGCGCCCCAGGTCACGTAGAAACTGCCTGCAGAAATGAAGGAGGCTCTGGCTCACATGTATTCTCAGGAGTGAAAGACTCATTGGGTACATTGCTTTAAATAAGTGCTTTTAATCAATCCAAATAACACTATCCTCAGAAAGAAAAGGAGAAATTACATTGAAGCCACAGACACCGTCACTGGGAAGATCGGGACAGGTAGTTAAGTCACATCAAATCTGACCACAACTGGCGGGCTGCAGCCCTACGCATTCTCCCCAAAGACAACAGCACCCTGACACTCCCCGCTAGCCTCTCTGTCTACTCCGCACACCCCATTTCCCTGCTCCAGTACCTCTCAGAGATTTAACTACTAAAAATATCTTATATAAAATGGACATAAAGCAAAACACCTTAAGAATATAGGTTTATTAATAACATCAAGAGCCTAAATTATAAAAGAAAATTTTAATTACAAAACCAAAAGCATCCAAACTTCTCTTAAAATCATCTATAGCAGTGTTTGTGTTACCATCTAAGGAAAAATAAGGTTGTGATCTTAAGTACTGAAAATAAAGGGGGAAAAGAGACCAAAACTCCAGACAACTCAGGAGCTCAATCAGAAGTCTGTAAAATCAGCTTCAGCTCCCCGGGGACACAGCAGTTTCCTTCCAAGAGGAGATTACACCGACACAAGTTCAGATAGAGGAAAAACGGCACCAGTTAGGAACCCAGGCCTCCCATGAGAACTCTCCAGGAAAGGTGAAGCGTTCGGGACCAGTGCCCAAACTGCAACCAAAATCCACATAATTACTACAAAGTGTCAACACTGCAGTTAACCCTGAATACAGAGGTTTTAGTTTAGAAAAAAATCACTCAGAAATTAACATCTTTGCCTTAAAAGAGAAACCGTCTATATGCCACAGGTTCACCACCACTGCAGGCTGTACTGAATACAAAGCCTTATGTACTCAAAGCCCTCTCAACCCTTTCAGGCTTCTCTCGGTATCTCATACTGGCTTGGGTTCTTCAACTCATTTCCTAATTCCAAATCTCAGACAAGCCTTAGAGAATTTCTCCTGCCCATCTGAACATTCTTCCCACTTTCAATTTTTGAGATTTTCTTTGGCTTTTATACTTCTGGCCGAGAGCCTATATTACATCTAGACATGCACAATATGTAGAACATGTTACTGGAAATATTTTGGAACCTGCCTCATATTCAGAAAGAATAAATACATTTTGTAGGCTGAAAACAATTTCACGAGAACAGAATTCTTTACTGTGCTTTTCTTTCCTCAAAGGCCCTCTCACCAGGACGCATCACTCCCTCAGCAGTTTTCAGAATGAAAATTGCCTATTAAGCAGAATACTCCCAAGGCGACAATGCTGCCTTGAGAGGGAAAACTTGGTGGGTCAGACTTAGTTTGTACAACAATGGATGAAGCTATTAGGAAATACATTAGAAGCTCCTTGGCTAATGACACTAGGACTAGTAACAGCAAAAGGAAGGAATGACCACTAGTGTTAACCAAGCACTACCATTAACATATAGTTCCCTAATGACTCTTACATTCCATAAATGCATAGCTGTTTTCAAAAGTAGTGAAAGTTCTTTAGGAAAAATCAGTTTTGCATTGCTAATATAAGACAGTATGATTATATCATTATATTTTATCTGGAGAAAATCTAGGGGGAAAAAAACCAATCCAGCAAAGAAAGCTCCCTTTATGGAAAAATCAACACTGATTGTATTTGCCTGGAGATATGTAGTTATTTTACAGATAAGGAAAATGCTAAAGTCCTCAGAATAATTCACATTCACACAAACTCTTACATTACCTGCCATATTCTCTGTCACATCTGAGCCCCAATCTCCTTGAAGCACAGACGCTAAGATGCTGTCAAATAAATGAAGCTCCTTGGCACCAACAATTTTGTCACGAAATAAGCGCCGTGCTTCATACGCAACAATTTCTAGCACATAATCTAACGGATGGTTTGAGGAGCCTAAAAAAGGCAGAATTTTCAATAAGTGTAATAAAATCCAAATTGTTTTAAAATGGTTTAATATAATTTTAAGACAAATAAAAGCAAAGATCTACATACCATAATTTTGCACCAGATAAACAGAAGAAAAGAAAAGAAGGTTAAAATTTGTTACTGAACTAGTACGTCTTTGCAATTGTTTAAAAACTACATTAAATGCTATCATCCCTACTTATTCATTGAAAATATCAATTCCAAGAACTACATTAAACCCATTTCTCTACAAAGAATGATTTCAATTTTTTCTAAAATCAAGTTCTAATAGCGATACTAACAGTTTATGTGAAGAAATATAGTATCTCTTAATAGTAATGCTGAAATGTATTTTGACATTTAAATTTAATATAACTAGTATTCTTTTTTTTTTCAGAACTGGGAATTGAACTCAGGCCCTTGTGCTTGCCAGGGAAGTGCTTATTCTACTAAGCCATATCCCCGGCTCCTCTAGTATAATTTTTAAAATATAAATTATTCTCACAATGCTCATTTATCTATTAGAAATACATATATGACATAAATGGACTCTCTCTCACACACACATACACACAGATAACAGCAAAACTCACCTCCTTCCAAGTCGTATCTGAATAAGCCAAGAACCCACTGTGTAAGAATGCAAGGAGTAAACAGATAGTGACTATACTCATCAACTGTAAATTTGGCCCGCACCTAAAAGAGAAAACACAGTAAATAATCTGTCTGCTTCCCTAGATATGTAATCATCCTATAAATTTTTCTGTTACTGTAAACTCACAGCAATGCTAAACTTTTTTTTTTTTCTCTTTTTTTGAGATAAGGCACTGCTATTCTGCACTCCAGGCTGGCCTTGAATTCACAAGGATCTTGCCTGCCTGCCGAGTGCTGGGATGACAGGTGTGCATTACCACACCGGCCAGGAATGCTAATCTTTACTTCCTGGTTGAATTTTAACAGTATTGATTTTTGTTATGTTATCCTATATATTTGGTCCTATGCTCTTTAAAACAATATTCTAAGAGTGGTTCATAGGTTGCAACATACTGGCAAAGGTCGCCCATAGCAGAAAAAAATGAAACAGAAAAAGTTTAAGTAGGCTAGGTAAAGAAATTTAAGAATGCTAATGCAACCTTTATGAAAGGCTGGTTGCAGTTCCAAGGTGCTCATAGACCCATTCACTAAAATGCCATAAGTTTCTGAACAAATCAAAGTGCCTGTCCTCAAAAAAAGGCTGTCCTTCAGCTGCATGGATACAGCCACTACTCTTCTGACCTCGGTCACTCACCATGTGAATTACTGTCAACTCCCACCATGTGTACCCATACATGTGCGTGTATGCACATACACACATAGAGACATTTCTAAAGAGTAATTCCTTGCTTTGTATCTTTCTCCACTTCTACTTACTCTAAAAAGCACCTTCCACAAACATCTCCCCAATGTTACACATGCTGCTCCTTTAATCTAGAAAGATCTTTCATCTCTAATCACTGTATTTCATTCCTTTTTCTAACCACAAATGAAACTGTATCTCCTTACCAACTTTACACATGAAACAACAGCCCCCACTCTCTGTTCACTGTGCTATCTCTAGAACCTGAGCATGTTCTATTACCTTTACCACATTGTATTAATAGTTTAGTTCTATACCTTAGTACTTCGTTGGACAGAACTTTCAGAGAAGGGAAACTCATTCATCTTTGTATCCCTAGCACTATCATACTCAAGAAAAGGTATTAGTAATGTCTTCTGCATCCTCTATGCCTACTTTTAAGTCTTCTTTCCTAATGTATCGAGGAATGATACTTTAGACATTTTGTGCCAATTGCAGGAAAGAAATACACTTCAAATGCTACTCTCAAGTTTGACACTTGGCAGAAAAAAACTGACAATAAAAAAAAGATCTGGTCTTGGAAAAAGATAAACTCCATCCTGAATATGTTAAATATGAGCTGGTAACAGAATAACTCCTCAATAATTCATTCATCCAACAAATATTTATTATAACTGAACAGCGCCTGTGCCTGGGACACAATCATATGCAAGGCAGATAGTGCCTTCCCTGAAAAGGCTCACTCTCGTGCAGGAAAGCTGAACACACAACAAGAAAACAAAGCCTCTTGGTCAACATTAAAGCCAGTTCTTTGACAATGATGTCAACAGCTGTGAAAACTACAATACAAATGGATATGTACCTGTTCATACACCTGTACCATAGATCCTGCTAAGATATAAATTTTTGATGAAGAGCCCCAAATAGAATGATTCTTCAGATTTTTATGTAGAACTGCTTCCAAATATGCTCCATAAATTGTTTGTAATTGCTCTCTTTCTGGGTAACTAAAAAGGGAAAGATAAGCAAAAAAGAAAGCTAAAATCAACATTCTAAATTATTATGGTAATGTTAAGTTACAGGAGTGGTCAAGTCATGCTTGGGGCTAGGGCTAGACTCATGTTCCCTGTTCTCACCTCAACCAAATCAGATCCCTGAGTATCTACCATGGAGGAGTCTGACAAAATATTAAAGACCTAACTGTTTCAAAAACCAATTTTTAGGGGGCCAGGGAGATGGTTCAGTAGAATAAGCACCTCCCTGGCAAGCGCAAGGGCCTGAGTTCAATCCCCAGTTCCACAAAAAAATTAGAAAGGAACAAAAGAAAACTTTTACTTTAGAAGATGTATTTTGAGTTACCACAAGCCTACTAGACAGGCTAGTAATCTGCCTCAGAACTAAAACAGTAGGACTAATAAGCTACATATACACGTGGGACTACCACTACTCAGCCATGAAGGAGAAAGAAATCCTGTTACCGCAACATGGACGGATCCCGAGATTATTATGTTAAGTGAAATAAATCAGGCACAGAAAGACAAACACTGCAATCTCTCTTATACGTGGAAATGAAAAAGCTGATCTCCAAGAGGCTGCGAGTCGAATGGCAGCTCCCAGAGTCTGGGGAGATGAGATGAGAGGGAGGGACGGAGGGAGGGGGAACGTCCACGGAGATTAGGTTCCCCTACACAGCAGCAAGAAGTTCTGGTGTGTGCTGCATGCTCGGGAGACTACACAGCAGGAGTGCACTGCGCCCTTCAGAAAGCTAGAAGAAAGGGCTTTCCAAGTTTTCACCATAAAGAAATGATAAATGTTTGATGAGACAGATATATTTAACCTGATTTAAACATCAAGCAATGTAAATATGTATTAAAACATTACATGGTGCCAGACAGGGTGGTGCTTGCCTGTAATCCTAGCATTCAGGAGGCTGAGGCAGGAGGATCACCGCAATTGCTAGCCTGAACTACATAGTGAGGCCCTGTCTTAAACAAACAAACAAAATTACATAGTCCTCATTAATATATACAATTTTGTTTTTATGCATGTTACAAAATTTTTTTTAAAAATTAAAATTCATCATTTTGATTCCTGATATAAATACTGTAAAATAAAAACTGTACAAGAGAGATGTATTCTATTTCCTTATATATTTCTAATTAAGTTTTTATCATCCTAAATTATGCCTATTTTGGGAAGAACAGGACACATGTATCAGATCTTACTCTTTGTTTCTTTCTGAGACAGGCTCTTCTGATGTAGTTGAGGCTGGCTTTGAACTCACCATGGAGCACAGGATGACCTCAAACTGGTGGAAATCCTCCCGCTTTAGCCTTCCAAATGCCGCCATGTGCCACCACACCTGGTGTGCTTGACTACTTAGTTAGAAAAGCTAACTGTCTATACGTAAACGTTCTGGTAATCTTTAATGGGATACAATTACACAGTATCTCTCCAAGTTAAAAAAAAAAAAAAAAAAGTTTAAATACTAAGATACGTACTCTACAGCACAGAGCCGCACAATTGAGGTAAAACGGGTAGTCAGCTTGTGCCTTCCCAGTCTCCCCCCAGCTGACATAGAAGCGACAATCTGAATATTTTCTAGACCAACCCATTCCAGATTTTCGTCATAAAATCCTTGATACGTCAATACCTGTTGGAAAGTACATATATTTTAAATATTTTATACTTTAACTTTGCTAATCATATTATGTCTAAATTTTAATTACATATGAGTGCAACCATTTCTTCTACATAGAGTTTAAAATTGAAATATATTTTAAATTCTTATACCATTGAAAATAACACAGTTCAAATTTATGCTTACTGAACTGTCCTCATTTTAAAAATGTTTTTCTCTCAAGAAAACATGAAAATCCACATATTGCAGTAGCAATTACCAAAAAATGTGTCAGAAGTCAAGGAAAATATTTTTCTACAAATATTCTGGTATCTTAGTTAAGGCTAAAATGGACCCAAACAAAGACATAATAAATTTTAAGATTTTAGATATTTAAATTTGACATAAATTAAATAAATGGGGAAATCGTCTATGCTGAATAAGAATGCATGCTTTTAAATCCTTCCAGAGGCAACGGGAGAGACTGCTAGGTAAAGATCCAGAAAGTGGCATGACTGGGTAAGCCCAAGTGCTGGTGGAGGAATGCGTATCTAAAAAAAGATCAAAACTTCCCCAATTCCAGCACTATTTCCATCTTCCACTCTCCTCATTTTAGGAAAAAAGGACAGGTGCCAGGCGCAGAGTAGGGTTTCTATCTTCCCCCGTATACATTATCTTGATGTAATACTAACTTCTAACTTGGAGACTAAAAAAAGTGACCAAGAACAGAACTTAAATATTTCAGGAATTTTAATTTCATGACACATACTACGAACCCTGGGCTCACAACAGGAAGAAAACTCTATATATGACAAATTAATGGAACTAAATTGTGTCAAAATTTATCAGAATGCTTCAAGCAGTAGGACTCACCTGCTGAAGGAAAGCTACCAAGGTGCTGGTCCCCCACTTGTCAAGGTTGGGGAGGTTGATGTCCTTTAAGTACAGCACAAGTCGCTCACAGTCCTTGGGTCTGTACACTCGGCCCGCGTTCGTGCTGATGACCATGCAGGTCTGGCTCAGCTTCTGCAGCAGATGCTGCGAGGTTGTCTGGGCACTGCAGTGCAGCGTGGCGATCTGGGTGGACCGGAGCTGAGAGAAAGCACGCCTGAGCAGCATCCTACGGAAGATGTGGGCACCAGCCTCGGAATCACAGTCAGCAAAGGAGTGTCTAGATCCAGTAGGAAGTTTCTACCTTAAAATGTGGCTGGCCAAATAGCTCAGTGCATTAAAGAGCCTGCTTAGGTAGAAGAAGGGGCCAGGAGTTCAATCCCCAGGCTGCCCTGCTGGCCCCACCCCCAGGGCGCACTGAGACAGAGATTGAGACTGGGCGTGGTGGCGCGCACCTGTAATCCCAGCACTTAGGAGGCTGTAAGCAGGAAGATCACTACTGTACACCCTGTCCTCAATACAAAAATACAATAATAAAAAAAGAAATTTTTACCTTCGAAATACTTCATAAATTATGTGACCAACATGGATATGGTTTCCATAGCAACAAGGTAACTTTCTAATATTTAAATTGGAAAAATATAAGCACATGCTTCACAGTACTCTTGGGACCCTTTTCAGCCAAAATGTTCTCAAAAGTAATTCCATTTGGTAAAGTATACATGGAATTTGATATTTCTGCTTCCTCATAGTTAAAGGAAAGATTTGAAGTTTTCCTAGGTAAAACTATAAAAATTCATGACTTTTTGTTTCCAAAAATTTCATCCTGTAGGCATTAAAGATAGGTGAGTCCCACCAAATTAAAAGCTAAACCAGAAGGTAAATTAAACAGCTGAATTTACAACTGAAGCGCATGGCATTTTATGGGTGTCTCGGAGGCACGTGTTTTTACTGTGACTGCGCGCGCATAATGTTCTACAAGCATCTCCTCCGGTTGCTCTTTCTACTAGAACCACATAACGTGGCAGACAACAGGACACATTCTTCTCAGAAGTTATAATTTTTACATGTAGTGAGAATAAGAAGAAAATATAAATGCTCACAAAATCGTCGAGGAAGAGGCACAAATGCCAGGGGCCCTTCTGTCGTGGCTGCCCTTACCCTTTGCCACATCCTTCCGGGCCTATGAGAATAAACGGCTGCTGGGTGTCGGAGTTCAACCAGGGCTTGAAGTAATCGAGACTTCGCTGCATATCGGGAGTCTGAATGACTGGCAGCATGTGGCCGCTGCTGAAATCATCCGCAGTCAGGTTCTCTGGCTTCCTGAGCACGTAGGCCACCAACTGCCCTCGAGTGGAGTCATAGTAGGTGTTCAGGGGTCTGTGGGCGTCTGGGGGGGATTCGCGTGCCCAGGTGAAAACCTGAGAGGAAAAGGTTGTGACAAATGCGTGTTTATATGCTCCAAACACAGTGTGTCATGTTTTAAATTCTTCGCGGCAAATGTCCGCATATGAATTATCTTAGTTTTGTTTTTAAAGCTCATACACATGACACCTACTTATAAGCAAACTAGAATTGCAGTAATAGTTCATCTTAAACATTTTTCTCTAAATAATTACTTAAGCAAATAAAAGTATATACAGGAGAAATCAGGCTGGTGGGTATCTATACACCAAGCACATCTCTTTTCCACTCCTACTGAGCTCTCAAAAGCACTAACTCACTAGCTGCAGGGCAGGACTCCCAGCCGCTCAGCTCCGATGAGTCCAGTACCGCCCACTGCACGGTGCTCTGGCCGCGCAGCCCTTCACGCCAAAGCTGTGGTGCAGATCAAAGCCGCGTCTGCCCTGGTGCCACTTTCTAACACCTTTACTGAGAATTTTAAAGAAGCACACTGAAAGGCATGCAGTGGTAACCATGGGAAGCACCAAGCAGCAGAAGGTTCAGGAAGGGGAGGAAGACAGGGCGAGAAGAAAGCAACCCATGCTGCTGCCAGACAAGCACAGCAAGAAGGCAGGCGAAGCTGGGACACGGCGCTGACACCGAAGCAAAGCAGCGTGCGGGCAGGTATTCCACTCGGGCGGGACAGGCAGAAAACCCCTTCCCGTGTGGAATTCAGCTGCATACCAATCACATGCAATACAACCTCTGAATACATTAAAGGCTTACTAATTATTTATCCACCCCACTATTGTTAATTACTAGACCTTTTCTGTTTAAAGACATTTTAGAGGGACCAGGGAAATGGCTCAGTAGAATAAATGCTTTCCTGGCAAGCGCAAGGGTCTGAGTTCAATCCCCGGTTCCACCAGAAAATAAAAAATAAAAATTGTTTTTAGAAAAAGGGTTTTAGAAAATATATTACTGTAAGATTCAAAATGAATGAAATTACCATACGAATTCATATGGCTAGGTATTTTCACAAATATCTAACATACTTCTATGTTCTAAATTTTAATCTATTGAAACATTATTTCATAAGTTATTAACATCAAAAATCATAACTTAGACCAAAGACAAATTAAATCAGAGGAAAAACTACACATGTACATACAAAAAAGCAGTCTTGCTCCATTGAATATACAATTTCCAAAGTTAAAAGTTCTATACATTGTAACTACAACCACTGACCCTGGCAGTGAAGGGTCAGGAGAGTGAAGGAACCGCCTGCACAGGCGTGAAGGCCGCTTACCTCCTTGGTGAGTTCCACACGTGATTTCATATTCAGGTTTCCGCCAAGTCCCCTTATGAGATTAATAATAAACTGGTCATGATCTTTGCATCCATGCAGATGGGACAATCCATTCATCACAGTCCCAACCAAACTTGTTTCTACCACGTAGTCATTCTGTTGATTAAAATCCACAGTATGGGCAGACAAAAAATAGATATATTAACCATAAGCTTAAAATCAGACAACTGACATTCATGTGTCTTTTCAAATTTAAACCTTTAAATTTAGCCACCTCATTAAGCTGCAGAAAGTCTGGATTTTATTCAATTATACATAAAAATTAATTTACATATTTTGAACGTAAATGCTAGCATCCTAAGATTCAAGGTTTGTTTGCTTGAATCTTAGGATGCTTCCTAAACCTGAAAAATATATGCATTTGGTACAGGATCTCACTACGCAGCTCGGACTCATAGCGATTCTCCCGTTTTCAGCCTCCCCAGTGCTGGGATTACAGACGTGCGCACCACGCCCACTCTCACTGGTGGCTCAGTGGCCTGGGGCAGGACCTGCACAGCATGAGGTGCCGGCGATCGAACCCCAGTCCCTGCACTTGTCTAAGAAGGCATTTAGTCCTGGGAGCAATCTTGCCAGCCCTAACCCTGAAAATAATACAAAAGAAAAGTAAATACTAGTTGAAAAAGAATAATTGTCCATTTTTTCTTGCTAATAATAGAGGAAACAAGAGACAAGGGCTCAAGTTGATGGCTCTGGGAAAAAGTGCGCTAGAAAAAGCACACTTAAATGAAAATTAACTTAGAGGTTTCTCACAAGGCAGAATTTTAAATAAAACTTTCAGACTCAAGCAATGCACATGGTTTTGATATACAGATTTCTGAGGCCTCTGGTAAATGCCAAGAGAGTTCAGATGAAAAATGATTCTCCTCTTCAGAAATGTTTACTGAGAACCACTCATACATGATGATCTGTGGTAGTGATTTTCAAAGTAGATTTACTTAGTCTCTACCTTTACAGTACATCAACACGGAAGAAAAAATGGTTACAAGTTGTAGTAGGAGCTGCAGAGTGGCACGGTAGATTCTGTGAGAAAGGGCACTTCACACAGCAGTTTCCAGGTCGGTCGGTCGGTCGGTCTGTCTGTCTCTCTCTCTCTCTCTCTCTCTCTCTTTCTCTCTCTTATGGAACCAGGGATTGAACTCAGGCCCTTGTGCTTGCCAGGCAAGCGCTTATTCTACCGAGCCATCTCCCCAGCCCTTTCCAGGTCTCTTTTAAAGGGTGACGCTGGGGCCACCCAGACAGCTCAGCTGATCAACGCACCTGCTTAGGCAGATGCAGGGACCAGGCCTGGATTCTTAGTGTGCTGTGCTGGCCTCACCCCAAGGCGCAATGAGACAGCAACTGAGACTGGGTGTGGGGGCGCACACCTATAATCCCAGTGCTTGGGAGGCTGAAAACAGAAGGATCACTATGAGTCTGATCTGTGTAGTGAGACCCTGTAGACCCTGTCCTAAATCCACAAAAAAAGGGGGGACAGGAGTCCACCTGGTCAGCTCATATTTAGGGTTCCAAGACACAACCTACACTTGCTCTTTTATGTGCTCAGTCAGAACAAGAAAATAAAGTTCTAGCTGTAAATAAAATTCCAGACTTAGCTAGAGTATCTATTATATGATACCTCAGAATAGAAACAGAGAAAACAAAGGAAAAGAAGAAAAGAAATCTCAACACAAAAAATTTCTTGAAGCAAAATCAAGGACTTGACCTCCACCAGAATCAGCTTATTGTCTAACTGAATCACTAATATCTACTTTGTAGTTTAAATCCTATCCTGTTGTCATCAGGACTACAGTCAAACCCCTATTTACACATAGAAAAATTCCATATACTGTTACGTCCCTTAATTCCAATTTCTCACAGCAGACAAGGAGATGACTGCAAAGTACTTATACTGGAGATCACTGTTTGTTAAGATGTGTATGTTTTTTACATTAATGACATGACGCATCTACTGAAAAGACGTTAAAAGGGAGAAAGGGGTGTGTAAGTAAGCACATGCGTTAGCATTCACTCACTCACTCTGCTAACAGTGTACCTGCTTCCAAAGAGGCAGTAAGAAATGAGGCACGCTCAGGTGCTTACGGTGTAACATAAACAGCTAACTATTATGTATGGAGTTGGCCACTGTTGTATCGTTATAACAAACTTATGCTCCAAAGTGGATCATTCAACGCATTTATTTTGTCTCCTAGTACATAAGACTTAGTTTGGTGCTCAGGAGGTGGGTTAGTCAGACTGGGGGTGGTGGGAATGGCCTTTCCCTGAGGCCACCAGAGAATCCTACTCATCTGCAGCATTTCCTCATTAATCTCTGTTCCCCCAACTTTCTTCCTTACAGAATCAGAAGAGAAAAAGTTGAGAAAACTAGAGCTAAATCTCCCTGTCGATGCATTTTGCTCAACTCCAAGTGCTGACCATAAACTGAGATCAGATTAATAATTAGATACTTTTAAGACATACTATTCATTTTTTCTCTTATGTTTAAGTTTTTCATAAAAGCAATATAAAACCAAAGCTAAGAAAAATTGAAAAATTTCTGGGATGCTAAACTTTTATACATGCATTCAATTCAAAATCAAATATGATCTTTTTTAACTTCTAAAAAACAGCAATATGCTTTCATCCTGTTATATTATGAATATCTGTTTCTGTGATGTTTCCCTTTGTTAGATACCAAGAGTTTCTAATCTCTACGCATTATGCTTGACATTACTCAATTACTTTCTGTTGAATAAACAAATGTTTCCTAAATCATTGTAAATAAATCCTCATTCTTTTTCTACTTTAAATTAGCTTGATATTGTCTTTACCAGGAAAGACAGACAGGAAGATTGGCATAGTAAAAGGAAACATAAGATAAAGTGTTTATAAGTGAAATATAAGGACATACCAACATTCAAGATTTTTAGTTAATCTA